GAGGAAAGAAAGACTCTGTCACAGTTTGGCTGCCTGAGATGCTGCTGGTGCTACTGTGCTAGTGCTCACTAAGTTATTTTATACCTGTTGTTATTGAAAGTGGTGGACCGGGATGAGGCTGTAGGGGAGGAGACCTCATTAGGGCACATTACCATGTCATGTAGATGTCCCAGTGCCAGTGAGGGTACACCTTAACACAGACAGTCACCCATGTCATGCGTTTTGCCTGTCAGCAGCTTGAGGTGCAGTTTCCCAGAACCCCCTGCACCTGTCTCCTTGAAAGTTGGCAGGCTTCGTGGCCTCAAAGGGGGCTATCATCCCTACAAGTTTCATCTGAATCAGGCAAGAAATATCACAGTTATAGATAGTTCCATGCTTCTCCGTTATAGCCTATGGACAAAATGTTGAAACAGCGTTGAAACAGTGAAACAGTTTCAACAAAATGAAATGGAGCGGCGGTTTCAGAACTAAACGCAACTTGAAACAAAACACTGTTCCGTTGAAACAGAAGTCGAAATGGAGCGGTGCCATTTCGCGCAGCCCTACTGGGAACCTTCCAGGCCGATGAGTGGAAGGGAAAAAATCCCCAGCAGAAGCGCTGTGGGTCTGGGAGGAGGAATGGGATGTGTTAGAGTCTCCAGGCCAGGGCCAAATGACTGTGTAGCCCCTGTTCAGTGTGTCCTGCCATTTAGGAAGCAGCATAGAGGGGTGTGGGGTGCCCCTCCCATCCTGGTGGTGCCTTTTCAGGGCCAGGGGCTATTCTCACTGCACTAGGTGGAAATGGGCTTTTCACTGTTTTCTCTTTGTTTCTCAGCTGTTTAGAAATTTTGCAGAGCACGGAGCTGGCAGGCTGGAAGTGTGGGTAGGTATGGGGCTGTGCCCCTGAGGCAGGGCTGGGCTGACCTGACCCTGGCAGGGCTGGTGTTGGAATTCATATGACCCAGTGAGTAATTCAGCTAAAATACTATTATTAAATCCAAAGGTCAATAGTTGTACAGTTACTTTAAACAAACGCTTTAAAATACTGTAACAAAATGCTAAGTGTAGAGTAGATAGCAGTGATACAGTACTTATTAATGACCCACACCCATGTAGTAATTAGAGTTCTAAACAGTTGATCACAATGCTTACAACTGAGCTAGCAAGAGGGATTGCAGCTGTCCCACACTGGCTGGCTCCAGAAGATCAGCTCACACTAGCAAAGAATCCATCTTTCCTGTCTCTTTCTTATACCACCCCAGATTTCTCATTATACATCGCCCTCCTCTGAGTGCTAGAAATGGGTCAGAATCAGCCTAAACTTTTGACAGACTAATCTTGTCATTCCCTATGCACAAAACCTTCCTTCTTCCATTGTTGATGGCTCCAGGAGGTCTAGGGAGGAAACTTCCCTGACACTGTGGCCTACCAATGTCCTTCCTATTGTTCACCCACCTTTTCTCCTGCTTTAGCACACCTCTGGCTTATCACACTTTGTCCTGCTTTCATTAGCATGTTGAGTGTGCATGTTTGCATGTCCCAAATCACAGGTTCCTGAAATTCTCCTGCTTTTACCCAATAGAGTAAAACATTCCCCCTCCTGTTACATAACTACAGTGCAGACCATGATTCCTGCAGCGGGGCTGCAGCATCGGGGTGAGGGTGGCCAGGGGCAGCACTGACCAGGTCCCCACAGGCAGAAACCTTCCACGTCCTGGGGCATGCTCTGGGGATGGGGCAATTGCGGGTGCTGGGATGGGCCACGCCTCACCCTATTGTCTCTCCACTTGTCCCCTCAGGAAGTCCCGTCTCTTCTTCAAGTACTGGCACCAGGAGCAGTTGGCAAGGAGCATAGAGCACTTGGAAAAGGCAGCGGTCACCATCCAGAAGAGTGAGTGTGGTGTGTGGGGGCAGAAGGGCCCCCTCCTCCGAGGGACCCTGTCAGACCAGGCCCAAGGGGCAGCGCGTCTCCAGTCCTCTCCTACCATGGGGACCCTCCTTAGCATCATAGGCACTGGGGCTGGGCATCCTGGCCAGGCTCCATCCCTGCTTTCCCACCAGGGCCCCTATGGCATGACAGTGGGACAGGCAGGGTTGGGGTGCAGAGGAACAGTTTGAGTATGTGCCTGAGCTGGGAAGGTTTGTGAGGGCCCAGGAGGGGGAGGGGCAGGGGGTCGGGTCCACTCCACAGCCAGTTCCTTTGTGCCCGAGGTGTGGAGGCGCTGACCACAAGCTTCACTCTGGAGCATCAGAAGCACTGAGGTGCTCTGGGCTCAGGCCAAGGTCTGGATCGAGACCTTAAACTCGGCTTGAAGTCTGCTGGGAAGCCATTGAGAACTGACAGTGCTGAGCACCACAGCACCCAGCATGGAGCAGGAATGGGCTCAGCCTTCGCACCCACAGTGCTCCCAGAGTGCTGGTACACCATGCGCAGAGGTCCTGCCACTGCCCAGGGGCGATGGAGACCATGCTTCTGACTGCCACATCTCTGGGCAGCCTACAGGGGATTCCACTGCCGGAGGAGCTACCGAGTACTGGTGGCCGAGCGGACTGCCCAGGCACGGCGGCTGCACGAGGCAGCAGAGAGGGAAAGGAACAGGCAGGTTGAGATGGAGGCCCAGGCTCCTGGTGAGTAGCTCATGCCTGCCCTTTCCTTCCTGGGGCTTGAACTCTCACGTGCACACCCTGTTTTCTTATGATTTGTCCCCCGTAATCAGTTGGAATTTTAAAGGCTTTGGCCACCCAACCAGTGGCGGCCCCCGATTTTTAGTGGGCTAGGCCCACAGCCTTTTTAATTCAAATAGGTCCTTCCTGGGGCTTGACTGCTTACTCAGAGCTCATCCTGGCTGCCTTACTCCCTGCCTTCCTTGCCATCCTGCGTGGTGGGGGGGGAAGGGGGAATCGGTGTCACTGCCTCCTCCAGCCTCAGCCCCAGCCCTCCCCACTTTGGAAATGCAGCCCCCTTCCTAGGGGAACAGTACCTAAGCTGGGAAGGCCACATGCCCTGAGCTGGGATGGGAAAGGTGCCTCCTGGGCCCAGCACTGTCAACCGCCCTGCCATGGGAGCATGGGGCAGAGACCCCTCCATGTCCTGCACCGTGGCTCCAGTGGGGCAGAGCTGAACCAGCCTCCATGGGGCTGGGGGAGCATGGCGTGGAGCCCCTCATCCTGCAACAGCCCACTCTACTATGCCCTGGGTGTGATGGGTGGCCCTTATGTGTGCGCTCCTCCCTCGGAGTGATGCCCCCATGAGCTATTGGTGCCTTCACCTCCCTGCAGAAACAGCCACCCCACCAGTCCCAGTGCCGCGGAGGAGACGTCTGTGGCCCCCGTCCCGCACTCAGGCTGCCGCCAACCTGCCACTGCAGCTCCCCATCCCACGTCCCCGCAGCAAGCTTACAGAGGTAACACCCTGGCACTGATCAGTGCCATCCCTGGGGAGTTGGGCTGTGCCCTGGCAGCAGGGACGTGTGCAAGGTTTGCCGTGGGGAAGGTAACTAGCTTCCTCCTGGCTCTCATGCCCTGCTCCCCTCTGCTTTCCTCTGCTCCAGTCCACTCCCTTCGACAACTTCCTGCATGCTGGACCCTGCCCCACACTGGGGACAGCTGGAGATGAGGCAAAGAAGAGGCAGATCAAGAGGGGAGCAACGTTGCGCTGGTTCCGGGAGACGCAGGCCCGGAAGGTGCTGCAGGACGACGGGGCCTTCCCCAGCTGGCTGCATGGAATGATCAGCAGGAGGTGGGTAGGGGGCAGCTCCTTGAGGAGCTGGAGGGAGTGGGGCCTTCTTGCCCTGGTCATGAGCTCCTGCCTGTCTCAGTGATGTGCCTGGGACCAGGGTGCATGGGCTGGGCCAGCAGGACAAGGACTGCGCCCCCGGAAGCAGTGATGCTGGGGATGCCAGGTCCACACTGCAGCGCAAGCTAACGCATGGTGAGCAGGGAGGTGACTTGGTCTCTGCAAGCAGCAGTGGCAAGGCTGCGGCTGGTCAGTGCAGCCTCTTTAGGCACCATGTGGTAAAGGAATCTTGAAGCATTGTTGAGGGGTAAAGGGGAGTCAGGGACGATGATCTTAGGGCTGGAGAGAGAGCCTGAGACACAGGGATGGGGGTATGTCAGCTGAGTGGACCAGGTCTTTATCGGAAGGAAGATGGGGGGGTGCCCAGATTACTGTCTGTGTACCTCTATACCTGGTTGTTGTGTGAGTGCTTGTTCCCACAGCACTTGAGAGCAGGTTAGATGCCTGCCTAGGAGGGTTCAGACAGGGTGATCCTGCCCGGCACAGGGGGCTGGCAAAGTGTGACCTGCTGAGGGCCCTGCAGCCCAGCTGCTCTATGCTTCAAAGCCCAAGGGCTGGAAGCTGAAGCCAGATGAGCTCAGATGAGCAGTTGGTGCCTGGTTTCTGGCGGCCAGTGCGGCTTACTCCCTGGAGCCAGATCCCACGGGGACATTGGGAGGCCCTGGAGATGGTTTAGCTCAGCAGGTCTTAGTTGGGGATTCTCACATCTGGGGTGTGGCAGATCCCATTAAGGGTGCTGTAGGCACCACACAACATGTAGGCACCACAGCTAGGTGGACAGACATGCACAGGATTGGCAGGATAAATCTGGAGATTTCACAGAGGAATCCAGGGCATCACAAGTGCCCTGCCCTGCCCTGGGCTTGTTCTTGGCAGCATAAGAATTGCTCTGTTACTTTCCTGTATTCAAAAGCAAATGGCAGCTCAGAGCTGGCATTTTTCGAGGGGGTCTCAAGTCCGAGGAAAGGGGCTTGAGCCCAGAAAGGGGAAGAAAGCACTGCTTTAGCTGAATGTGAGCTATTGGGCTGGTGCGGAAGTAATGGGGGCGTAGTTACATGGGAACACTCTGAAAAGTTAATTTGTTTTGAATTGAAAATGGATTAGTTAAACTGCATTAAATCTGTGGGCAGATGCCCGATGCCTGCTCTGATGTGTGCTTATTAGTGTACATTGGAGCAGATTTGATTTAATAGAGTCTGCTGGAGCATGCTCCAGCAGCCTCAGCATCATGTATATTCAGCATTCCTTCACTTCAAAATGGCAGTGGGGGTGCTGTAACTAAAGCTTATCGAATAGGCTTTAGGTAAAGCGCCCCCACTGCTTTTTTGAAGTCCAGGAGGCTAAATACATGAGACACTGGGGGCACTTCAGTTAGAGCAGCTCCTGAGAACTGCCATAATTAAAGTGCCCTCCCCCCCTCGACCCCAGAGCATGTGTAAAGTTTCCCTCATTCACTATTAAAGTGTCTTTAATTTGCTTTAAATTTGCTTAAAGTAAATGAAGTTAAATGAAATGAATTTATCTTTGAATGAGTGTCCACATGGGACTTTTCATGTGACTTAACTAATCCTCTTTAAAAGTTAATTTGGATTAATTTTCCTGGGTGTCCCAAAGTGTATGAGTTAATGATAAAATGTGCCTGTGAATTCTTAATGGGCTGGTCTCATCCTCCCCTTCAACATGCACTAAAACATCTTTGTAGCATATTTGTTTCTGTCTTAGTTGACTTGCATTTGTTTAAGTTATCATGCCTTAAACATTTCATGTAATTATCTACATGTAATTTTTTTATGTTGAAT